CATACTAACATAGTTTTGTGTTACATATTAACACAGTTTTGTGTGTTACATACTAACACAGTTTTGTGTGTTACATACTAACATAGTTTTGTGTGTTACATGACAAACATAGTTTTGTGTTACATACTAACATAGTTTTGTGTGTTACATGACTAACACAGTTTTGTGCTACATACTAACATAGTTTTGTGTTACATACTAACACAGTTTTGTGTGTTACATGACAAACATAGTTTTGTGTTACATACTAACACAGTTTTTTGTGTTTCACGACAAACACAGTTTTGTGTGTTACATGACTAACATAGTTTTGTGTTACATGACAAACATAGTTTTGTGTTACATGACTAACACAGTTTTGTTTGTTACATGACTAACACAGTTTTTTGTGTTTCACGACAAACACAGTTTTGTGTGTTACATACTAACACAGTTTTGTGTTACATACTAACATAGTTTTGTGTGTTACATACTAACATAGTTTTGTGTTACATACTAACACAGTTGTGTGTTATATGACTAACATAGTTTTGTGTTACATACTAACACAGTTGTGTGTTATATGACTAACATAGTTTTGTGTTACATACTAATACTAACACAGTTTTGTGTGTTACATGACAAACATAGATTTGTGTTACATACTAACACAGTTTTTTGTGTTTCACGACAAACATAGTTTTGTGTGTTACATGACTAACATAGTTTTTTGTGTTACATGACTAACATAGTTTTGTGTTACATGACAAACATAGTTTTGTGTTACATACTACCACAGTTTTTTGTGTTTCACGACAAACACAGTTTTGTGTGTTACATACTAACACAGTTTTGTGTGTTGCATGACAAACATAGTTTTGTGTTACATACTAACATAGTTTTGTGTGTTATATGACTAACATAGTTTTGTGTTACATACTAACACAGCTTTGTGTGTTACATGACAAACATAGTTTTGTGTTACATACTAACACAATTTTGTGTGTTTCATGACTAACATAGTTTTGTGTTACATACTAATACTAACACAGTTTTGTGTGTTACATGACAAACATAGTTTTGTGTTACATACTAACACAATTTTGTGTGTTTCATGACTAACATAGTTTTGTGTTACATGACAAACATAGTTTTGTGTTACATACTACCACAGTTTTTTGTGTTTCACGACAAACACAGTTTTGTGTGTTACATCCTAACACAATTTTGTGTGTTACATGACTAACATAGTTTTGTGTGTTACATGACTAACACAGTTTTGTGCTACATACTAACATAGTTTTGTGTTACATATTAACACAGTTTTGTGTGTTACATACTAACACAGTTTTGTGTTACATACTAACATAGTTTAGAGTTACATATTAACACAGTTTTGTGTGTTACATACTAACACAGTTTTGTGTTACATACTAACATAGTTTTGTGTGTTATATGACTAACATAGTTTTGTGTTACATACTAACATAGTTTTGTGTGTTACATACTAACATAGTTTTGTGTTACATACTAACACAGTTGTGTGTTATATGACTAACATAGTTTTGTGTTACATACTAACACAGCTTTGTGTGTTACATGACAAACATAGTTTTGTGTTACATACTAACACAGTTTTGTGTGTTAAATGACAAACATAGTTTTGTGTTACATACTAACATAGTTTTGTGTTACATACTAACACAGTTGTGTGTTATATGACTAACATAGTTTTGTGTTACATACTAATACTAACACAGTTTTGTGTGTTACATGACAAACATAGTTTTGTGTTACATGACTAACACAGTTTTGTGTTACATGACTAACATAGTTTTGTGTTACATGAACATACTAACATAGTTTTGTGTTACATACTAACATAGTTTTGTGTGTTACATACTAACATAGTTTTGTGTGTTACATGTCTAACATAGTTTTGTGTTACATACTAACACAGCTTTGTGTGTTACATGACAAACATAGTTTTGTGTTACATGACTAACACAGTTTTGTGTTACATACTAACATAGTTTAGAGTTACATATTAACACAGTTTTGTGTGTTACATACTAACACAGTTTTGTGTTACATGACTAACATAGTTTTGTGTTACATGAACATACTAACATAGTTTTGTGTTACATACTAACACAGTTGTGTGTTATATGACTAACATAGTTTTGTGTTACATACTAACACAGTTGTGTGTTATATGACTAACATAGTTTTGTGTTACATACTAATACTAACACAGTTTTGTGTGTTACATGACAAACATAGATTTGTGTTACATACTAACACAGTTTTGTGTGTTGCATGACAAACATAGTTTTGTGTTACATACTAACATAGTTTTGTGTTACATATTAACACAGTTTTGTGTGTTACATACTAACACAGTTTTGTGTTACATACTAACATAGTTTTGTGTGTTACATACTAACATAGTTTTGTGTGTTACATACTAACATAGTTTTGTGTTACATACTAACATAGTTTTGTGTGTTACATGACTAACATAGTTTTGTGTTACATACTAACACAGTTTTGTGTTATATGACTAACATAGTTTTGTGTTACATACTAACACAGTTTTGTGTATTACATACTAACACAGTTTTGTGTGTTACATGACTAACACAGTTTTTTGTGTTTCACGACAAACATAGTTTTGTGTGTTACATACTAACACAGTTTTGTGTATTACATACTAACACAGTTTTGTGTGTTACATGACAGAGATTTACAGGTCCTGATTAAGAACACAATTTTGTGTGTTTCATGACTAACATAGTTTTGTGTTACATACTAACACAGTTTTGTATGTTAAATAGCAGACCGACATACAATGTGGAAGTAGAGATACATGTGTTATGATCCTGTACAAACATTGTTACACTAGCATGTTGCTTGGTGTCCGCTCGATTCTATTGGGGAGGCCTACCTTCTGTCGGATACTGAGAGAGTTTGGGGTAGCCGGTCGCAGGAACAATGTGTCTTGAGAGGTAAACCCAGAGTCTTGTGATGACACACTTGTAAGGCGTACAACGTCACCTACTTTGGGATGCTGCTGGTCGTAAATAAAATGGAGACATGCATGTAAGAGAGATATAAATGTATGTAGATATACCATGACATGTATGTAAGAGAGATATAAATGTATGTAGATATACCATGACATGTAAGAGAGATATAAATGTATGTAGATATACCATTACATGTATGTAAGAGAGATATGAATGAATGTATGTAGATATACCATTACATGTATGTAAGAGAGATATAAATGTATGTAGATATACCATTATATGTATGTAAGAGACTAATACAGAGTTACAGTTCCTGGTGAAGTGACTAATGACTAATACAGAGTTATAGTTCCTGGTGAAGTGACTACTGACTTATACAGAGTTAAAGGTCCTGGTGAAGTGACTACTGACTTGTACAGAGTTACAGGTCCTGGTGAAGTGACTACTGACTAATAGAGATTTACAGGTCCTGATTAAGTGACTACTGACTTACACAGAGTTAAAGGTCCTGGTAAAGTGACTACTGACTAATGGAGATTTACAGGTCCTGATTAAGTGACTACTGACTTTTACAGAGTTACAGTTCCTGGGGAAGAGACTACTGACTAATAGAGATTTACAGGTCCTGATGAAGTGACTACTGACTTTTACAGAGTTACAGGTCCTGATGAAGCGACTACTGACTAATACAGAGTTACAGTTCCTAGTGAATTGACTACTGACTAATACAGAGTTAAAGGTCCTGATGAAGTGACTACTGACTTTTACAGAGTTAAAGTTCCTGATAAAGTGACTACTGACTTTTACAGAGTTACAGGTCCTGATGAAGTGACTACTGACTTTTACAGAGGTACAGGTCCTGATGAAGTGACTACTGACTAATACAGAGTTACAGGTCCTGATGAAGTGACTACTGACTTATACAGAGTTACAGTTCCCGGTAAAGTGACTACTGACTAATACAGAGTTACAGTTCCTGGTAAAGTGACTATTGACTAATACAGAGTTACAGTTCCCGGTAAAGTGACTATTGACTAATACAGAGTTACAGTTCATGGTGAAGTGACTACTGACTAATACAGAGTTACAGTTCCTGGTGAAGTGGCTACTGACTAATACAGAGTTACAAGTCCTGATGAAGTGACTACTGACTTATACAGAGTTACAGTTCCCGGTAAAGTGACTACTGACTAATACAGAGTTACAGGTCCTGATGAAGTGACTACTGACCTATACAGCGTTACAGTTACCGGTAAAGTGACTACTGACTAATACAGAGTTACAGGTCCTGATGAAGTGACTCCTGACCTATACAGCGTTACAGTTACCGGTAAAGTGACTACTGACTAATACAGAGTTACAGGTCCTGATGAAGTGACTACTGACTAATACAGAGTTACAGTTCCCGGTAAAGTGACTACTGACTAATACAGAGTGACAGTTCCTGGTGAAGTGACTACTGACTAATACAGATTTACAGTTCCTGATGAAGTGACTACTGACTTATACAGAGTTACAGTTCCCGGTGAAGTGACTACTGACTAATACAGATTTACAGTTCCTGGTGAAGCGACTACTGACTAATACAGAGTTACAGTTCCTGGTGAAGTGACTACTGACTTATACAGATTTACAGTTCCTGGTGAAGCGACTACTGACTAATACAGAGTTACAGTTCCTGGTGAAGTGACTACTGACTTATATAGAGTTACAGTTCCCGGTAAAGTGACTACTGACTTATACAGAGGTACAGTTCCTGGTGAAGTGACCACTGACTTATACAGAGTTACAGTTCCTGGTGAAGTGACTACTGACTTATGCAGAGTTACAGTTCCTGGTGAGGTGACTACTGACTAATACAGAGTTAAAGGTCCTGGTGAAGTGACTAATGACTAATACAGAGTTACAGTTCCTGGTGCAGTGACTACTGACTTATACAGAGTTACAGGTCCTGGTGAAGTGACTACTGACTTATACAGATTTACAGTTCCTGTTGAAGCGACTACTGACTAATACAGAGTTACAGTTCCTGTCGAAGCGACTACTGACTTATACAGAGTTACAGTTCCCGGTGAAGCGACTACTGACTTATACAGAGTTACAGGTCCTGGTGAAGCGAGCACTGACTAATACAGAGTTACAGGTCCCGATGAAGTGACTACTGACTAGTACAGAGTAACAGTTCCCGGTAAAGTGACTACTGACTAATACAGAGTAACAGTTCCTGGTGAAGTGACTACTGACTAGTACAGAGTTAAAGGGCCTGGTGAAGTGACTACTGACTAATAGAGATTTACAGGTCCTGATGAAGTGACTTCTGACTTTTACAGAGTTACAGGTCCTGATGAAGCGACTACTGACTAATACAGAGTTACAGGTCCCGATGAAGTGACTACTGACTAGTACAGAGTTAAAGGGCCTGGTGAAGTGACTACTGACTAATACAGAGTTACAGTTCCTGGTGAAGTGACTACTGACTTATATAGAGTTACAGGTCCTGGTGAAGCGACCACTGACTAATACAGAGTTACAGGTCCTGATGAAGTGACTACTGACTAGTACAGAGTTAAAGGTCCTGGTGAAGTGACTACTGACTAATACAGAGTCACAGTTCCTGGTGAAGTGACTACTGACTAATACAGAGTAACAGTTCCTGGTGAAGTGACTACTGACTAGTACAGAGTAACAGTTCCCGGTAAAGTGACTACTGACTAATACAGATTTACAGTTCCTGGTGAAGTGACTACTGACTTATACAGAGTTACAGGTCCTGGTGAAGTGACTATTGACTTATACAGAGTTACAGTTCCTGGTGAAGTGACTACTGACTAATACAGAGTTACAGGTCCTGGTGAAGTGACTACTGACTAATACAGAGTTACAGGTCCTGGTGAAGCGACTACTGACTTATACAGAGTAACAGTTCCTGGTGAAGTGACTACTGACTAGTACAGAGTTAAAGTTCCTGGTGAAGTGACTACTGACTAATACAGAGAAACAGGTCCTGGGGAAGTGACTACTGACTAATACAGAGTTACAGGTCCTGATGAAGTGACTACTGACTTATACAGAGTTACAGGTCCTGGTGAAGGGACTACTGACTAATACAGAGTTACAGGTCCTGATGAAGTGACTACTGACTTATACAGAGTTACAGGTCCTGGTGAAGGGACTACTGACTTATACAGATTTACAGTTCCTGGTGAAGCGACTACTGACTAATACAGAATTATAGTTCCTGGTGAAGTGACTACTGACTAATACAGAGTAACAGTTCCTGGTGAAGTGACTACTGACTAGTACAGAGTAACAGTTCCTGGTAAAGTGACTACTGACTAATACAGAGTTACAGTTCCTGGTGAAGTGACTACTGACTAATACAGAGTTACGGGTCCTGGTGAAGCGACTACTGACTTATACAGAGTTACAGTTCCTGGTGAAGTGACTACTGACTTATACAGAGTTACAGTTCCTGGTGAGGTGACTACTGACTAATACAGATTTACAGTTCCTGGTGAAGTGACTGCTGACTAATACAGAGTTACAGGTCCTGGTGAAGCGACTACTGACTAATACAGAATTATAGTTCCTGGTGAAGTGACTACTGACTAATACAGAGTTACAGGTCCTGGTGAAGTGACTACTGACTTATATAGAGTTACAGGTCCTGGTGAAGTGACCACTGACTAATACAGAGTTACAGGTCCTGGTGAAGTGACTACTGACTAATACAGAGTTACAATTTCTGGTAAAGTGACTACTTACCTGTACAGAGTTTCGGTTCCTTGTCAAGTGACTAGGGGAGTGTGACTTGAGGGACCCACTGGATGAACTATTGATACTGTTGATGCTACACATGCTGGATTTCCTGGAGCCCAAGGAGCTTGGAGAACTAGGTGGGGACTGTTGCTGCAAGTATAAATTCACAAAAAAAGTAACCTCAGAAAATCTGGTTCACACAGATACACAGATTATTCTGACAATGTAATGCATTCTTGAATTATTAAGCAAAATTTTACCAATTTATTGCCGCGAGTACTTTTCTAAATATTTCAGAAAGTCCCTGAAATATTCAAGATTATAAGCCTAAATGGTTGTGACCAAGGGATATTAACCACTCTAAAAGAGCGGTTACCGGCCGAACGTAACTTTTTTAAGTATCGCGATATCGGCGAATGCCACGATGCATATAGGCGCTCATCAAGATATGATACAATTCCTCAACACATCGTTACACCTCTAGTGTAGACCGTATATGCACTATTGGTCAGATGCTTACAATTCCTAAAACAAGAGGCCCAATGGACCTGCATCGCTCACCTGGTATTAGTATTAATAATAATACTAATTAATAATAATTTGAGGTTCTTATATACCGCTTTATCACAACCTAGTTGGTAGGTTGTCTCAAAGCGGTTCACAAATCATTATCCGTGGTTATAGGGCCTTTGTAACTAGCCAATACATTTCTCAACTCCCTGGGGAGCATATAGCCGGAGCTGCCATTTCGGCGCTAACAGCTAGCATTCAACAATTCTAGCACTGCCCAACCACGTACTCATTTACAGCCGAGTAGACTGGAACAAGCGGAGTAAAGTATCTTGCTCAAAGCTACAACACATTGCCGTGCCGTGGCGCGAACCTGCAACCCTTTCATCACGAGCCCGGCGTCCTACCACTGGACCACCGTGCCTCCTGTCTCACAATCTCGAATCTCACAATTGTAACCTCAAAAGTGGACTAAAATAAAGCTACAGGCAAAATATCAGTGTCTAATGACTTAAAATCATTTAGAAAAATCTGTTAAATGATTAATACACATTTGACCCCTGTCACCTCCAAAGTCAAACATGGACATGAAGTTGATCAAACTTTATAGACCTTCATCCCTGAATGCAACTTGCAAAATAAACCACCTTTTACCTTTTGTTTGAGAAAATGACTTTTAAAGATTTATGCACTATGGACCAGATGTGACCATGAAAGTGTGCCAAGGTCATTCACATCAACAACCAATCACCCTGTTTGCTTAAGTTATTAAGAAGAAGTCGTAAAGAGATCAACATTTTGAACCCTGTGACCTTGAAAATGGGCAAATGTCCTTCATTTGAACAAACTTGGTAGTACTTCATCCCCACATGCTACTGGCCAAATATCATCACCCTGGACCTTTAGATTAAACAGAAGAAGTTGTTTAAAGGTTTTGAAGACAATTGACCCCGGTGACCTTGAATATGGGCAAGAATCATTCATTTGAACAAACTTGCTAGCCCTTCATTCCAAAAACCTCCTGACCAAATATCTTAACCCTGGACATTTAGGTTGAACAGAAGTGTTTTAAAGGTTTTCAAGACAATTGACACCTGTGACCTTGAATATGGGCAAAGGTCATTCATTTGACCAAACTTGCTAGCCCTTCATTCCAAAAACCTTCTGACCAAATATCATAACCCTGGACCTTTAGACTAAACAGAAGAAGTCGTTTAAAGGTTTTGAAGACAATTGACCCCGGTGACCTTGAATATGGGCAAGAATCATTCATTTTAACAAACTTGGTAGCCCTTCATGCCAACATCCTGCTGGCAAAATATCATCACCCTGAACCTTTTGGTTTTACGTAAGAAGTTTTTTAAAGGTTTTAGAGACAATTGACCCGTGACCTTGAATATGGACGAAGGTCATTCATTTGACCAAACTTGCTAGCCCTTCATCCCCGCATGCTATTGGCCAAATATCAACACGCTAGACCTCTTGGTTATTTAGAAGAAGTTGTTTAAAAGTTTAAACATATTTGACCACCCTGTGACCTTGAATATGGGCAAAGGTCATTCATTTTAACACACTTGGTAGCCCTTCATGCCAACATCCTGCTGGCCAAATATCATCACCCTGAACCTTTTGGTTTTACCAAAGAAGTTGTTTGAAGTAAAATGTTGACGCCTGTTGACCATGGCTCACTTGGCCCTTCAGTACGATACAACCAACAAACCATGACTTCATGTAGACCAACATCAAAGTGGACCAGGATCAAGTGGTGACTACTGTAGATAACTAAAACAAGAGGCCCATGGGCCTTAACTGTCACCTGAGTCCTACAGTATTTTTTGTTGTACCAATTTGAGTAAAAATTAGGTAAGTATAAAGTTAACTTAAGTTTGTCAGGACCATGAGCTGATCATTCCTAGACCGATTTTCAGTTAAATCAGACTATTAGAACAAGTTTTTAAGTTTGAAATAGTTATTTTCAAAATAGCGACCGTATCGGCCATATTGGATTTCTGCTTGACCCGAAAAATAACAACACTTTGTAAGGACCATGAGTCGATCATTCCTACAAAGTTTCATTTCAATCGGCCTAGCCGAACTTGACTTTAAGTTTGAAATAGTTTTTCAAAATGGCGGCCTTGGTGGCCATATTGGATTTCTGATCGACCCGAAAAACAACAACACTTGGTCAGGGAGATGTCAGTAACCTTCCCATGAAATATTAATGAAATCCCTTTGCCAGTATTTCAGCTTAAGTTTAAAATGTAAAATGTTAATGGACGACGGACGACGACGGACGAAGACGGATAGCAATAGGTCACTTGAGCTAAAGCTCAGGTGACCTAACAAGTGTTGACTACTGCAGACAACTAAAACAATTGTTGGCTACATATTGGATTTCTGCTTGACCCGAAAAATAACAACACTTTGTAAGGACCATGAGTCGATCATTCCTAAAAAGTTTCATTTCAATCGGCCTAGCCGAACTTGACTTTAAGTTTGAAATAGTTTTTCAAAATGGCGGCCTTGGTGGCCATATTGGATTTCTGATCGACCCGAAAAACAACAACACTTGGTCAGGGAGATGTCAGTAACCTTCCCATGAAATATTAATGAAATCCCTTTGCCAGTATTCCAGCTTAAGTTGAAATTGTAAAATGTTAATGGACGACGGACGACGACGGACGAAGACGGATAGCAATAGGTCACTTGAGCTAAAGCTCAGGTGACCTAACAAGTGTTGACTACTGCAGACAACTAAAACAATTGTTGGCTACATATTGGATTTCTGCTTGACCCGAAAAATAACAACACTTTGTAAGGACCATGAGTCGATCATTCCTAAAAAGTTTCATTTCAATCGGCCTAGCCGAACTTGACTTTAAGTTTGAAATAGTTTTTCAAAATGGCGGCCTTGGTGGCCATATTGGATTTCTGATCGACCCGAAAAACAACAACACTTGGTCAGGGAGATGTCAGTAACCTTCCCATGAAATATTAATGAAATCCCTTTGCCAGTATTTCAGCTTAAGTTTAAAATGTAAAATGTTAATGGACGACGGACGACGACGGACGAAGACGGATAGCAATAGGTCACTTGAGCTAAAGCTCAGGTGACCTAACAAGTGTTGACTACTGCAGACAACTAAAACAAGTGGTGGCTACTGCAGACAACTAAAACAAGTGTTGTCTAATGTAGACAACTAAAACAAGTGTTGGCTACTGCAGACAACTAAAACAAATGTTGACTACTGCAGACAACTAAAACAAGTGGTGGCTACTGCAGACAACTAAAACAAGTGTTTGCTACTTCAGACAACAAAAACAAGTGTTGGCTACTGCAGACAACTAAAACAAATGTTGACTACTGCAGACAACTAAAACAAGTGGTGGCTACTGCAGACAACTAAAACAAGTGTTTGCTACTTCAGACAACAAAAACAAGTGTTGGCTACTGCAGACAACTAAAACAAGTGTTGTCTAATGTAGACAACTAAAACAAGTGTTGGCAACTTCAGACAACTAAAACAAGTGTTGGCTACTTCAGACAACTAAAACAAGTGTTGGCTGCTGCTACTGTAGACAATTAAAACAAGTGTTGGCTACTGTAGACAACTAAAACAAGTGTTGACTACTGTAGACAACTTAAGCAAGTGTTGACTACTGCAGACAACTAAAACAAGTGTTGGCTACTGCAGACAACTAAAACAATTGTTGGCTACTGTAGACAACTAAAACAACTTAAGCAAGTGTTGACTACTGCAGACAACTAAAACAAGTGTTGACTACTGTGGACAACTTAAGCAAGTGTTGACTACTGCGGACAACTAAAACAAGTGTTGGCTACTGTAGACAATTAAAACAAGTGTTGGCTACTGTAGACAACTAAAACAAGTGTTGGCTACTGTAGACAATTAAAACAAGTGTTGGCTACTGCAGACAGCTAAAACAAGTGTTGACTACTTCAGACAACTTAAACAAGTGTTTGCTACTGCAGACAACTAAAACAAGTGTTGGCTACTTCAGACAACTAAAACAAGTGTTGGCTACTGCAGAAAACTAAAACAATAAAACAAGTGTTGGCTACTTCAGACAACTAAAACAAGTGTTGGCTAATGTAGACAACTAAAACAAGTGTTGGCTCATGTAGACAACTAAAACAAGTGTTGGCTCATGTAGACAACTAAAACAAGTGTTGGCTCATGTAGACAACTAAAACAAGTGTTGGCTCATGTAGACAACTAAAACAAGTGTTGGCTCATGTAGACAACTAAAACAAGTGTTGGCTCATGTAGACAACTAAAACAAGTGTTGGCTACTTCAGACAACTGAAACAAGTGTTTGCTACTCCAGACAACTAAAACAAGTGTTGGCTACTTCAGACAACAAAAACAAGTGTTGGCTACTGCAGACAACTAAAACAATTGTTGGCTACTTCAGACAACTAAAACAAGTGTTTGCTACTGCAGACAACTAAAACAAGTGTTGGCTACTTCAGACAACTGAAACAAGTGTTGGCTACTTCAGACAACTAAAACAAAAGTTGGCTACTTCAGACAACTAAAACAAGAGTTGGCTAATGTAGACAACTAAAACAAGTGTTGACTACTTCAGACAACTTAAACAAGTGTTTGCTACTGCAGACAACTAAAACAAGTGTTGGCTACTGCAGACAACTGAAACAAGTGTTGGCTACTTCAGACAACTAAAACAGGTGTTGGCTAATGTAGACAACTAAAACAAGTGTTGTCTAATGTAGACAACTAAAACAAGTGTTGGCTACTTCAGACAACTAAAACAAGTGTTGGCTACTGTAGACAACTAAAACAAGTGTTGGCTACTGTAGACAATAAAAACAAGTGTTGGCTACAGTAGACAACTAAAACAAGTGTTGGCTACTGTAGACAATTAAAACAAGTGTTGGCGACTGCAGACAACTAAAACAAGTGTTGACTACTTCAGACAACTAAAATAAGTGCTGACTACTGTAGACAACTAAAACAAGTGTTGGCTACTTCAGACAACTAAAACAAGTGTTTGCTACTGCAGACAACTAAAACAAGTGTTGGCTAATGTAGGCAACTAAAACAAGTGTTGACTACTGTAGACAACTAAAACAAGTGTTGGCTACTTCAGACAACTAAAACAAGTGTTGGCTACTTCAGACAACTAAAACAAGTGTTGACTACTGTAGACAACTAAAACAAATGTTGGCTAGTGATCATGAGTACCTGGAAGTTCCATGTAGTGGTGTCCTGGCCTTTCATGTCGATTATGCACTGTTCACTTGCAGTTGGCAATTTGTCTGGCTCACTGGCCCCATAGCATAACCCATCCATAATCTCCTGCAGATGTGTTATTTCTGTCAGTAGGCCAATCTCATGTTCCTAGTACAACAAAGAAATTATTCAAAAGAGGTACTGCCACATACCAAGATACAGTTGAAATTCAGAAATGGACATTTTGAAATCAATTTCTTATTATTTGTACATATTTCCATCTGACAATAACAAGAAATGAATATTGGTGTCTATCATTGTAAGATCTTCATTAGTTCTATGTAAGTTTCATCTTTTCTCTTCATCAATGTTTGAAAGTAATGATGGTCCATTGGCCCTGTGGCCTTAGCAAATCTGGTCTGTCAATGTAAAGTTTTTATCTTGTGAAGATAATAGGACTATAACTTTGCTGCCAAAATGTTAGTCGCTGAGAACGTAATTCATATACATCTATATAGCTACTGTTAGATGATGGTGTTTACTAACGGGTTTATTCTGATCAATTTAATAACATTACATTAATTGCCTTATCACTTATATGGGAACATGAATTTCTACTTTGTATTTTTTATTAATTATTTATCAAGAATATAAGTTATATATTAATTTGTCTTAAAGTTCTGTAAATGAAAGGATCCAGAGAAAATGCTGACTTTTCTAGATGGCAGACCATGCAACTCAACGATCTTTTTGAAAAACAACAGCTCTGAACATATCTACAGGAAAAACAACAGCTCTGAACATATCTACAGGAAAAACAACAGCTCTGAAAAAATCTACAGGAAAAACAACAGCTCTGAACATATCTACAGGAAAAACAACAGCTCTGCTGAACATATCTACAGGAAAAACAACAGCTCTGCTGAACATATCTACAGGAAAAACAACAGCTCTGAACATATCTACAGAAAAAACAACAGCTCTGAATATATCTACAGGAAAAACAACAGTTCTGCTGAACAAATCTACAGGAAAAACAACAGCTCTGATCATATCTACAGGATATAACAAAAGTTCTGAACATATCTACAGGAAAAACGACAGCTCTGAACATATCTACAGGATAAAACAACAGCTCTGAACATATCTACAAGAAAACAACAGGTCTGAATATATCTACAAGAAAAACAACAGCTCTGCTGAACATTTCTACAGAAAAAACAACAGCTCTGCTGAACATATCTACAGGAAAAACAACAGCTCTGAACATATCTACAGGATAAACAACAGCTCTGAACATATCTACAAGAAAAACAACAGCTCTGAATATATCTACCAGAAAAACAACAGCTCTGCTGAACATATCTACAGGAAAACAACAGCTCTGCTGAACATATCTACAGGAAAAACAACAGCTCTGCTGAACATATCTACAGGAAAAACAACAGTTCTGAACTTATCTACAGGAAAAACAACAGCTCTGCGGAACATATCTACAGGAAAAACAACAGCTTTGCTGAACATATCTACCGGAAAAACAACAGCTCTGCTGAACATATCTATAGGAAAAACATCAGCTCTGAACATATCTAAAGGAAAAACAACAGCTCTGAAAAAATATACAGGAAACATAACAGCTCTGACCATATCTACAGCTATCTGATTTGCACACCTCAAACTTGATTTCAACACACAAAAACTGCAAAAATTACATATCATTACATTGAGTTTTTTATTGAATGCTGATGTTAAGACTTATAATTACCACAAATGGTCGTAGGCAGCCGATGAAGATACAGAAGCGCCCCCGTTCTTCTATCAGTGCATTTCTCACAGCAGTTTTCTCCGTCTCCTCCAGCAGCAGGTATTTGTCATTGACATCTTGCATGGCACTATCCAGTTTAATCTGCATGTCATTCTTACCTGGGAACAAATAATAACTGGTGTAACAGACACAACTTTATACATAATATTTAACCAATAAGAATTAGTCTAATTTTTTGAACTTTGAAGATTTGTCTGACCGCTGATAAGAATTTGACCTCTGACAGTTTATTTTGACTTCTGACAGATAAGTCTGAACTTTGGCAGTAAACCTCTTGACTTTTGAAAGAATAATTTCACCTCAGACTATTCAGTCTGATGTTTGACAGAATAATTTCACCTCAGACTATTCAGTCTGATGTTTGACAGTATAAATTCACCTCTGACAGTTCAGTCTGATGTTTGACAGTATAAATTCACCTCTGACAGTTCAGTCTGATGTTTGACAGTATAATTTCACCTCAGACTATTCAGTCTGATGTTTGACAGTATAAATTCACCTCTGACAGTTCAGTCTGATGTTTGACAGTATAAATTCACCTCTGACAGTTCAGTCTGATGTTTGACAGTATAATTTCACCTCAGACTATTCAGTCTGATGTTTGACAGTATAAATTCACCTCTGACAGTTCAGTCTGATGTTTGACAGTATAAATTCACCTCTGACAGTTCAGTCTGATGTTTGACAGTATAATTTCACCTCAGACTATTCAGTCTGATGTTTGACAGTATAAATTCACCTCTGACAGTTCAGTCTGATGTTTGACAGTATAAATTCACCTCTGACAGTTCAGTCTGATGTTTGACAGTATAATTTCACCTCAGACTATTCAGTCTGATGTTTGACAGTATAAATTCACCTCTGACAGTTCAGTCTGATGTTTGACAGTATAAATTCACCTCTGACAGTTCAGTCTGATGTTTGACAGTATAATTTCACCTCAGACTATTCAGTCTGATGTTTGACAGTATAAATTCACCTCTGACAGTTCAGTCTGATGTTTGACAGTATAAATTCACCTCTGACAGTTCAGTCTGATGTTTGACAGTATAATTTCACCTCAGACTATTCAGTCTGATGTTTGACAGTATAAATTCACCTCTGACAGTTCAGTCTGATGTTTGACAGTATAAATTCACCTCTGACAGTTCAGTCTGATGTTTGACAGTATAATTTCACCTCAGACTATTCAGTCTGATGTTTGACAGTATAAATTCACCTCTGACAGTTCAGTCTGATGTTTGACAGTATAAATTCACCTCTGACAGTTCAGTCTGATGTTTGACAGAATAATTTCACCTCAGACTATTCAGTCTGATGTTTGACAGTATAAATTCACCTCTGACAGTTCAGTCTGATGTTTGACAGTATAAATTCACCTCTGACAGTTCAGTCTGATGTTTGACAGTATAATTTCACCTCAGACTATTCAGTCTGATGTTTGACAGTATAAATTCACCTCTGACAGTTCAGTCTGATGTTTGACAGTATAAATTCACCTCTGACAGTTCAGTCTGATGTTTGACAGTATAATTTCACCTCAGACTATTCAGTCTGATGTTTGACAGTATAAATTCACCTCTGACAGTTCAGTCTGATGTTTGACAGTATAAATTCACCTCTGACAGTTCAGTCTGATGTTTGACAGAATAATTTCACCTCAGACTATTCAGTCTGATGTTTGACAGTATAAATTCACCTCTGACAGTTCAGTCTGATGTTTGACAGTATAAATTCACCTCTGACAGTTCAGTCTGATGTTTGACAGTATAATTTCACCTCAGACTATTCAGTCTGATGTTTGACAGTATAAATTCACCTCTGACAGTTCAGTCTGATGTTTGACAGTATAAATTCACCTCTGACAGTTCAGTCTGATGTTTGACAGTATAATTTCACCTCAGACTATTCAGTCTGATGTTTGACAGTATAAATTCACCTCTGACAGTTCAGTCTGATGTTTGACAGTATAAATTCACCTCTGACAGTTCAGTCTGATGTTTGACAGTATAATTTCACCTCAGACTATTCAGTCTGATGTTTGACAGTATAAATTCACCTCTGACAGTTCAGTCTGATGTTTGACAGTATAAATTCACCTCTGACAGTTCAGTCTGATGTTTGACAGTATAATTTCACCTCAGACTATTCAGTCTGATGTTTGACAGTATAAATTCACCTCTGACAGTTCAGTCTGATGTTTGACAGTATAAATTCACCTCTGACAGTTCAGTCTGATGTTTGACAGTATAATTTCACCTCAGACAGTTCAGTCTGGTGTTTGAGGGTATAATTTCACCTCGGACAGTTCAGTTTCCAAAGGGGGAAAAAGGTAATTATATAGAACAAATGTCACTCTAAGTCCCAATATTTCAGCCTCATGGCCTTCTTCAAGGGTGAAAGTTAACGGTTGTTTCAAGGAACGTCCATCTTGCTTATACCGAGGTACAGGATATAACACACAAATGTATGAGGTCACAATTACTCGTTGAATCTATGACGTCATAATAGCACGCCATCAAACACACAAAACGTCAATGCAATGTTGAGAACTGTGTTACTCCTGTCAGAAGGTCCTCTGGATATAACACCCATATGGAAATTTGGTTTTGAATTTTCTAAGCCATAATTATATCTTCAACTAAGAGTCGATATGACTTGACTTCCGTGTGTACTCGTTATAGCACCGTCATCCCAACATCACTGAATGGCTAAATGGTCAAAGAAATGCCTATTGATAGGTTTTTCTGCCTTAAGCTGAATGTCTCGTCTCTCACATGTTCCTCGAACCGTTCTTTCAATGAGCGTTCGGTCTCCCCCACAAAAACAACCCTTTCACATTTCTTGCATACTAAACTGTAGAAAATATCATATGATATTCACATTTCTTGCATACTAAACCGTAGATAATATTTATATGTTATTCACATTTCTTACATACTAAACCGTAGATAATATTTATATGATATTCACATTTCTTGCATACTAAACCGTAGATGATATTCATATAATATTCACATTTCTTACATACTAAACTTTAGATGATATTCATATGATATTCATGTTTCTTACATACTAAACCGTAGATGATATTCATATGATATTCACATTTCTTACGTACTAAAAACCTAGGATGATATTCATATGATATTCACATTTCTTACATACTAAACCATAGATGTATTCATATGATATTCACATTTCTTACGTACTAAACCTAAGATGATATTCATATGATATTCACATTTCTTACGTACTAAAAACCTAAGATGAAATTCATATGATATTCACATTTCTTACGTACTAAACCTAAGATGATATTCATATGATATTCACATTTCTTACGTACTAAACCTAAGATGATATTCATATGATATTCACATTTCTTACGTACTAAAAACCTAAGATGATATTCATATGATATTCACATTTCTTACATAATAAACCATAGATGTATTCATATGATATTCACATTTCTTACATACTAAACCATAGATGATATTCATATGATATTCACATTTCTTACATACTAAACCGTAGAAGATATTCATCATAAGGAAAAGGATTTTAAACATTTATACTATGTTCCCCTATAGGGCCTGCCTCCTTGCCCCCAGGGGAGCCACAGTTTCCTTTTATTTAAAATTGGTTCCCCCTGTTCTGGACCAAATTTGGTTAAAATGACTCCAATGAAACTAAAGGAGAACCTGGCTTTCCCCTATTGGACCCACCCTCTGCCCTTAGTGGTATCACACCCTCTATGTATACAAAATTCAGTAGCCCTTTTGCCCAACGATGCTCCAGGCCCAAGGACTTGGGGGGGAGGTTATGGGTCATTTTTGGCCTCACACAAAGTGAAAATTTCAACTTGAATTTATTTGCCGATTTTTGTTATAAACGTCATATTGGTGAATTGGGGCTATCTTTCTTGGTGCAGATTTTTTCCAATGTGTATGCGTAGATGTCCTATCATAGCAACAAACTTGCGTTGCTATGCAGAAATAGCCAAAATATGGTGTTTCTGGACAGTTAACATGTAGTAACATGTGGCAAAAAAAAATTCCCTGCTACGAATGGGCACTGGTATAACAATGTTCATTGTTTAAGCATGATGTCAGTGTTTTATTTGTTTGTTGCAAGCAGCGGCTTTCAAAAGTTGAAGAGTGTTTAGCTAATTTCCTTCAAAACAGACAATTTTCAACCAAATAGCTCACTACAGACGATATTCACACATTTTATGATGAAAAGGTGCCTTTATGTCTCTTTTTGTAATGCCATATCTCCTAAACCAGTTGTTGAATGAATTTGAAATTTCATATTTGCGTACTTCAATTATTCCAATATTATCAATATTAGAGGAGAAATGAGTTCTGAATAAGGGCATAGCTACACATTGCCATGGTTCTAACAAAGAAACATAGTTACCTGTACTCTTTTTCACCTTTTTCTGTAATCTCATTGTGTCGGAGGCAGCCTTCTTGATTTCTTGTCTAGCACGCTTGTACTCTGAAATACAATGATACTGTCATGACAAGGATTGATTTTTTTTAAGTGATATAATTTTTACAGGTTAAAGGTTAATCAACTTTTAACAAGAGATCTCAAAGGGTTCTTGACATCGTCTCAAGATCTACATAATTTCTACGTAAGTTTCATCTTTTCCCTTCATTTTTTCTATTATCTTATATTTCATCAGACAGACAATAGAGGGGTTCTGGGTGGACAGAAGGACTGCAAACACTATGGTACAGTAAAGCTAACTTGAACCTTAGGATCAGGGAAACTAACACTACCTTCTGTTTGGAGCTTCACCTTCTGACCCAGTCGCCAATCAAACTCAAATCAATTATAATTACCTTCTGATCTTCTGACCCAGTCGCCAGTCAAACTCGTAAATCACTTACCTTTTGACCTCCTGACCCAGTCGCCAGTCAAAATCAAATCACTTACCTTTTGACCTTCTGACCCAGTCGCCAGTCAAAATCAAATCACTTACCATTTGACCTGCTGACCCAGTCGCCAGTCAAAATCAAATCACTTACCTTTTGACCTTCTGACCCAGTCGCCAGTCAAAATCAAATCACTTACCTTTTGACCTGCTGACCCAGTCGTCAGTCAAAATCAAATCACTTACCTTTGGACCTTCTGACCCAGTCGCCAATCAAAATCAAATCACTTACCTTTGGACCTTCTGACCGAGTCGCCAGTCAAAATCAAATCACTTACCTTTTGACCTGCTGACCCAGTCGCCAGTCAAAATCAAATCACTTACCTTTGGACCTTCTGACCCAGTCGCCAGTCAAAATCAAATCACTTACCTTTTGACCTTCTGACCGAGTCACCAGTCAAAATCAAATCACTTACAAAACTTTTGACCTTCTGACCCAGTCGCCAGTCAAAATCAAATCACTTACCTTTTGACCTTCTGACCCAGTCGCCAGTCAAATTCAAATCACTTACCTTTTGACCTTCTGACCGAGTCGCCAGTCAAAATCAAATCACTTACCTTTTGCATGTTCTTTATCCAGTTGAGCCACTGTTTTCTTCCAGTCTTCTCCCTTTTCTTGTAGAGGGTTCACCAAATTGTCAACGATTGACCTGTAAAACATTGTAAAGGGGCAACAAAATCTCACTAACAAAACAAGATATCCTAGAAGATCTTGGTGGCCACCCAGAAAGGATCTTTATCAGATCTACAAAGGATGATATTTTACCTTATTTGCTCTTCAATTTCCTTACAAGTTCTATCAACCAGTCCCATGCTAGAAACCCTGAACGGGGCTGTGAGCACATATCGTGGGCTTATAAAATAGGTTACACATCGTGGGCTTAAAAAATAGGTTACACATCGTGGGCTTATTAATTATAAAATAGGTTACACATCGTGGGCTTATAAAGGTTACACATCGTGGGCTTATAAAATAGGTTACACTTCGTGGGCTTATAAAGGTTACACATCGTGGGCTTATAAAGGTTACACATCGTGGGCTTATAAAGGTTACACATCGTGAGCTTATAAAAAAGTTTACACATCGTGGGCTTATAAAAGGGCTCATAAAGGTTACACATCGAAAATAGGTTACACATCGTGGGCTCATAAAGGTTACACATCGTGGGCTTATAAAATAGGTTACACATCGTGGGCTCATAAAGGTTACACATCGTGAGCTTATAAAAAAGTTTACACATCATGGGCTTATGAAATAGGTTACACATCGTGGGCTTATAAAGGTTACACATCGTGAGCTTATAAAAAAGTTTACACATCGTGGGCTTATAAAATAGGTTACACATCGTGGGCTTATGAAATAGGTTACACATCATGGGCTTATAAAATAGGTTACACATCGTGGGCTTATAAAGGTTACAAATCGTGGGCTTATAAAATAGGTTACTCATCGTGGACTTATAAAGGTTACACATCGTGGGCTTATAAAGTATACACATCGTGGGCTTATAAAATAGGGTACACATCTAGGGCTTATAAAATAGGTTACACATCGATGGCTTATATATAGGTTACACATCGTGTGCTTATATATAGGTTACACATCGTGGGCTTATAAAGGTTACACATTGTGGGCTTATAAAATAGGTTTCACATCGTGGGCTTATAAAATAGGTTACTCATCGTGGACTTATAAAGGTTACACATCGTGGGCTTATAAAATAGGTTACACATCTAGGGCTTATAAAATAGGTTACACATCGTGGGCTTATACAATAGGTTACACATCGTGGGCTTATAAAATAGGTTACACATCGTGGGCTTATAAAATAGGTTACACATCGAGGGCTTATATATAGGTTACACATCGTGGGCTTATAAAATAGGTTACACATCGTGGGCTTATAAAATAGGTTTCACATCATGGGCTTATAAAATAGGTTAAAGACAAGTCATTTTGTTATGTTTGATGTCAACAAACAAATTGACACGAAAAGGTCAAAGGCGGAAAAAATCATAATCTTGGCTTCGTATTATTTCTTTAGTTGATGCTGTTTTCAATATAGCATTAATCTATATGAATTATATAAACTTAATAATAAACAAAAGGCCCATTGGGCCTGAATCGCTCACCTAGTTTTAATCTCACACTTGTAATCTTAAAAGTGGACTAATATATACAGCTACAGGAAAAATATCTGTGTTTGATCCATTTGAATCTATTAAATGATTTAAACATATGACGCCTGTGACTTTGAAAGTTTATACCCTTCGTTCCCAGCATAATTTGGCTAAATATAATAACCCTGGACCTTTTGAATATTCAAAACAAGTCATTTAAAGATTTAAACATATTTGATCCCTGTGACCTTGAATATGGGTGAAGGTCATGCATTTGAACAAAAAATAATCAAAACCTGGATGCACAACATCAGGTGGTAGTTATCATTTGTGAAAACTTTCATTGAAATTGGCCAAGAAGTTTTGGAGAAATTGTGCGGGAAAGCATTTTTCAACAAAGGGCAATAACTCAATAACAAGAGGACCAGAGGGCCTGTACAGCTCATCTGTTTCTTTTGTTACATGAAACTAACATAAAGGTAACTTAAAATCATATTTGGTAACTAGAACACAAGACATTTAAACATCTCTTAAACGCTTCTAAAGATATTGTTGTATGAAATTTGTAATTTTGATTTTAAAGCCTTTAACCTACATCGACCTTTGACTCCCGAATGCACTTAAAGTTTACCTTTGACCTCATTACTGTAATAAAAACAAGAGGCCCAAGGGCCTTAGCGGTCACCTGAGTTATATTATAGGTACTGGTAGCTTTATTTTATTGTTTAGATGTGATTTGGAAATCAGCATGTAAACTAAGTGAAATACAATACTTGTCATGTCATCAAAGGATAAGAATTTTAAAATATTTGTAAATGTTCCCTTTGGGGCCCCGCTCTAACCCCTGGGGATGGGGCAGGAATTCCAAGTTTACAATCTGATACTGTCATCCACCAAAGATGATTCTGACCAAGTAAAAATAATTTCCAACAGAAAATTGTCAAAATATACCCAAAAGTGTTGTTTCCCTATATAAACTATAGTAAACTTTACCCCCTCCCCAAGGGAGAACGGATAGCTCGGGGGTCCTGAAATTTACAATTTAAATAAAGCCCCTGATGATCTTTCCATCCATGCAGAGAAAATGACTGTAATACCTCTGAGTCTGGAGAAGAAGATTTTTGAAATATTGGTTAATTTTCCCTTTTGGGCCCCGCCCTGGCCCCTAGGGTTGGGGTAGGAATCCCAATTTTACAATTTAAAACCATCTTCCTCCTCCAAGGATGATTCTGACCAAGTAAAAATAATTTCCAACAGAAAATTGTCAAAATATACCCAAAAGTGTTGTTTCCCTATATAAACTATAGTAAACTTTACCCCCTCCCCAAGGGAGAACGGATAGCTCGGGGGTCCTGAAATTTACAATTTAAATAAAGCCCCTGATGATCTTTCCATCCATGCAGAGAAAATGACTGTAATACCTCTGAGTCTGGAGAAGAAGATTTTTGAAATATTGGTTAATTTTCCCTTTTGGGCCCCGCCCTGGCCCCTAGGGTTGGGGTAGGAATCCCAATTTTACAATTTAAAACCATCTTCCTCCTCCAAGGATGATTCTGACCAAGTAAAAATAATTTCCAACAGAAAATTGTCAAAATATACCCAAAAGTGTTGTTTCCCTATATAAACTATAGTAAACTTTACCCCCTCCCCAAGGGAGAACGGATAGCTCGGGGGTCCTGAAATTTACAATTTAAATAAAGCCCCTGATGATCTTTCCATCCATGCAGAGAAAATGACTGTAATACCTCTGAGTCTGGAGAAGAAGATTTTTGAAATATTGGTTAATTTTCCCTTTTGGGCCCCGCCCTGGCCCCTAGGGTTGGGGTAGGAATCCCAATTTTACAATTTAAAACCATCTTCCTCCTCCAAGGATGATTCTGACCAAGTAAAAATAATTTCCAACAGAAAATTGTCAAAATATACCCAAAAGTGTTGTTTCCCTATATAAACTATAGTAAACTTTACCCCCTCCCCAAGGGAGAACGGATAGCTCGGGGGTCCTGAAATTTACAATTTAAAGAAAGCCCCTGATGATCTTTCCATCCATGCAGAGAAAATGACTGTAATACCTTTGAGTCTGGAGAAGAAGATTTTTGAAATATTGGTTAATTTTCCCTTTTGGGCCCCGCCCTGGCCCCTAGGGTTGGGGTAGGAATCCCAATTTTACAATTTGGTAGCCTCATCTACAAAGGATGATTCTGACCAAGTTTGAAAAAATTCCATCCACTGGTTCTTGAGAAGAAGTTGATAATGTAAAAGTTTACGCACGCCGCACGACGTACGTCGACGGACGGAAAGTGATTGGAATAGGTCACTTGAGCAAAGCTCAGGTGACCTTAAAAGATTCACACTGCTGGTCGACATATCATACCCTAGTATCATGACTAGTCCTAGGATATTGTTGTTTGAAATTTTTAACATATTTGACCCCTGTGAACTTTAAAGTAGGTCTGTGTTTTAAATGAGGAAACTTCATAGCACTCCATCCCAGGTACCTACTGGCCAAATATCATGACCCTGGGTCATCCAGTTCTTAAGAAGAAGTCGTTCAAAAGAAAAAGTTGACGGACGGACGATGGACGCCACAGAACGGCATAACCCGAAGGGCCATGTGAGCTAAACAAGAGGCCCATGGGCCTTAACGGTCACCTGAGTCTACAGTATTTATTTTTGTTGTTGAAATATGTACCAATTTGAGTAAAAAATAGTATAATGTTAACTTAACTTTGTCAGGACCATGAGCTGATCATTCCTAGACCAATTTTAAGTGAGATCGGCCTATTAGAACTTAGTAGCAAAATAGCGGCCATGGCAGCCAAATTGTATTTCTGATTGACCCGAAAAATA